CTGGGGGGGCATTGGGTTTTTATGGGGACTCTGAAGCACTGTAACTGGGAGCTATGAATCCCTTTGCACTTCCACTACTCTGAAGAATCATCTACTTGATTTTTAAAGTGTACCTTGCAATGGCATGTGCAGCTGGTGTGATTGAATGGCAGTCCCCCTGTGCAGGGGTCAGACCATGTGCTGAAGATTTACCTCAAGAGCAAGATGTCTTTGCCTGCTAGCAGTTTATATTTTGTGCCAGAATGGAGGAGGTCACCAGTCAGAAGGGAGCAGATTCACAGTGTCTTTGGAAAAAAATGGATACATTGGAAAGAAGATAGGTGTGTGTTTCCTGGGACACAGCCAGGGTGCTGCAGTGTGTTATGGGGTCAGTCTGTAAATCTGTTGAGTCACACTGGTGATCAGTGTCAGACACCAGGATTGGTGAAGCTACTCCTGGGGGTAACTGTTTGCCAAGGCAATTAAGAGGATCAGAAATTTAGTCCAAAGTGAGCATCATCTTATGCTACCACTCCAGGGAGAACATCTTCAGAACCGCTTGTGTTGGAGATACATTTGCTGTCCTGCTTCTGCAGAATATTGACAATTCTGGTGATTCCAGACACCTTCTGTCACAGCTAATGAGAGAGCACTTGTGCCCTGCCTGTGCTACAGTAGTAACCCTGTCTACATATGGTCAAGTTATTTTAGAAGAACACAGATTCATTTTAATGTATCTCCAAGCGAAAGCATGCATCTCTGATGTGCTTATCATTGATTGAGGGTGGGGGAGAGGTGCTCTTGTTCACATGCCAAATATAAACTATGTTAAAGCCGCATAAGAGGTTTGGAGTTGCGTCCATATAAAAACACAGCATTCATGGGTGGGTGCGTCCCCACAAGTGCACACATGTGGTTTGTGGCAACTCAGAGGCACTGCAAACTGCACACAGAGCACATGCACCTGTGCACCATGCTGCTAATTTGCATGGTGGGGGAGTTTTACACCAGGAGATCCCGGAGTTAAAAAGTAAAAAAACCACTGCTAAAAAAAGCAGCATTATGCATGTGGCAGCAGCATGCCCTGCCAGAAGCTGGAGCCATGGTATGGCTGCTGGCCAGGCTCTGAGCGGCCAGCTCAGTGCCACTGCTGCCCTGGGAAGTCCCCAGGACCCCAGGTAAGGCTGCTGGGGCCAGCACAAAGGCTGGCCTTAGCCTTCCTTACCCCAACCAGATCCCTTTGCTGTGCACTGGAGCGCACATGCAGGAGCATGCCCGGGGGCAAATAGCAGTGGCATAAATATATGCCTTTGCTATTTGTCATGTGGGAAACATGCACCCCTGCACATGTGTGCTTGTGGGGATGCACCCTACATGTCTATTAAACTGGGAAACATTATATGGGTATTCTACAATTGTTATTTCATAGCAGAAGATCAAATATTGGCATGATCTCAGTCATAACATGCCCAGGAATTTCAGCTATGCATGTGCAGGCTACCTTTGTTTAATTCACAGCCGTGTGGCCTCTAAAGCAAGGTATGTGGCACAACTTAAGTGAAAGCTGAGTAGAAGGTAGTTAGAGATTAAACAAGCTGAGTTAAATATGTAGCAGAAACCCCCTTTTTCCTCTTGCCTGCATTTGCTCTCCCTTCTTTGGATGTTTCTCTTTTTCTACCTTTCTTCCTTCCTCTTTCTTTCACTTTAAGATAAGGAATTGTGTTTTAAAATTTGTGTGTGTGCATTTTGTGTCTCCCCTTGTAGTTTGGTATTTTTATCTATTTGTGTGCTATGGCATTTGTAGCTTATATTTTATACTCCTCACCTTTCAACTTTCAACTAAATGTGTTTTAGTAAGTTATACATTGTAACAATGTTAACAAGGGCAGGAATCAAACTGTCCTTCTCTGTATCAGGCTGGCCCCTGAAAGAGCGAGTGAATCTGTGATTGAATGTGTAACAAGGTAGCACACAGCAATTAACACCTGGGAAGCTGCAGATCAACCAAGGGAAGAACTCAGTAGAAGACAATGTAACAACCGGGAAATCTCTAAAGGTCACTGATCAAAGGCTAGAAGCCCTGGCCTGAGTTAATCAACGCCAGAGACCAACTTTTGGGCTGAATATCTCCAGATCAACCGCTCCCAGAGCCCTATTCTAAATTCATCAACGGACTCCCAAACCTGCACGTACATGCGGATGACCCCTGGGGCTGACAGATGCCATCCAGTAGCCACCGAGGGGGGGGAAGTCCCACGAGGGTCAATGACCCCTGGATTGGGCAAACCTGAAAACTGGGGAGTCACCAAAGTCTGCCAGGGACAGATAAAAGGCAGTGAAAAGTGACCCTCAGTGGCGCCCTCTTGATCTCCAACTCGACCAGACCTGTCCAGCCAGAAGGACCAGCCGGCGACCCCCTTCTGGAAGATAACACCACGCTGAAAGAAGCCTCAACGACAGACTCCAGCGCTTGTAGGATAGGTATACCTGACTCTGTAGCCTGCTACTGTGTGTGTGTGTATGTGTGTGCATGTGTGTATGTGGGGACCAGCCCCAAGGTTTATGATTACAGTGTTTCAATCCGCCTAATAAACTAGAATTTTAAGGATCCCGAGTTGGACATTTGTAGCCAACAGATAAATAATGCTGGGTGTGTCTCTCTTCACTAAGGACTGGATCCTGCAGTCACTGTGACAGGAGATAAGCAAATATTCCAATCCCCATCCTACAGGTAGAGAAGCTAAAGTCCAGAGAGGCTAAGGCAGTTAACCAAGATGACAGAAAAAGGAAATGTGAGAATATGGCAGTCATTAACTGCAATCCTATGCTCAGTTCTTCTGCCGTGGTTCTGTGTGCCAGTTTACCGATTCCACACTTTTTAAAGCCAAACTCTTTGCTGGGCCCATTTACTGCTGCATGCCACGTTTGGAGCAGTCATTAGAGGCCCTTCACTGCACTGCCTCTGTGCTGTGCCCAGCACTACCAGGAAGCGTGTCACCTACTCAGCGTGGCTTCAGGTGTGCCAGCTCCCAGAAGGGAGGCACTATAGGCACCATAGAGCTCATGCCCAGCACTGCTCTAAGGCCCTCCATCTTGGGCATATGTATTGACATTTGCCAATGCTCAGCGCCAATCTAAGGTAACTATATTGCCTCATTTTTAAGAACTGGCATGCACGGAGCAGGAGTGTGTGAGACCTGCTCCACAAAGGCGTTCCAGACAGTACAGAGGGAATGGAGACATGCCCAGAGAGCCAGAGCATTTGCAGAAGAAAAAGCTCACCTCTAGTGAAAGCCCATATTGGAAGTGTGGTGTGTGCAGACTATCTTTGCGAATGCTTGGAGGGGGCGGGGGTAGATCTACCCCTGGACCTTTTATCTGGCCTCCTGTACTAAGCTGTGGCCCCACAAAGTGGTGGAAATACTGTCTGGTATGGGGAGGGGAAGTCACAACCCTACCACACAGCTGGTTTGTGACAAATAGTGGCATCTAAAATGTACATCCTAGGGGCAGAGTATTCCAACCTCTGCCTCTCTTCTTAATGCCAGCTAGTGGCCATCAAGAGCATTTAGAAGGCAAGTGGATGCAGGTGACTAATGCTTTGGTAATTGTCTTAACAAGCGTCTGCACCTCCCTTTGAGGGGAAGAGAGACCACACAAGAGCACTTCCAAGCAGCACCTCCGAAGCACCTGTAAGTATAGCTTCAGTGATGTGCAGGCAGGAGAGAGAACGGTGTTAGTTGAATGCTCTGGAAAGGAGCGCAAAGCACTCACAGAGCAGGCAGGTGGGGACAGTGCCCTGTAACCCACCATCATGTGCATGCTCATGGTGTAACAACCCCCACCCTTAAACAGTTGGTGGGGAGAGATGAGGGCCAACACCAAACACCCAGAGCTCTGTTACTTGGAGGTAACACCTCCAAGCCCTGGTTGTGGACCAGGATCTCCAGCTGGTAACTGTCATGCAGCCGTAGGACAAAAAGATGGTCCCTGCCCTGAAGAACTCTTTGCTCTCGCAGGTCTCAGCTGCTTGTGAGCTCCCGTTACTGGCAGTGGTAGGAGGCAGATTCTGTCTGGGGCAGAGAGATGCACCCACTCCCAGTCCTGGGGTTACTCGGAGCACTGTCTGGCGGTGTCTAGAGGGAGGGAGATCAGGCAGGGCCCTGCTAGTGGTTCAGCAATGAAATGTTTGTGTTTTTTCCTCTTTTCTTTCAGATCCCGGTAAGGTGGAAATCCTGTTTCCCCAGCAGTGTACTCCCTATCCCCTTCTTTCTTGATGTTAATGTTTTAAATAACCAAAACAAATACAATATTAGTTTCTTCTCTCTGACTCGGTGTGCTGTGTTTCTTTCTGTCACCAATTTGTATGGGGGCAAATAGACCCAGTGTCACACAGGAATCTTTTTTTACAAATGAACCGTTGTAATAACAAAGCCTCACATAAGTGTCTGGTCATACAGCACTACGCACTTTCCTGAAACTGGATGCACATTAGTGAAACCTTGTGAAGCAGGTAGGTAAGTATCACTATCTCTGTTTGTGGAGAAACTGAGATACAAATGCAAGTGCCTTGCGAGAAATGGAACAAAGTGGGAGCAGACCACGCAGCTCCTCCTGGTAGCTCCTGGAGCTAGAACAATGACTTAATTTTTTGCATGAATTGGTGATTACTATCATGGAAAACCACTGGTCTGTTATATTTTGGGGTATTCTGCAAGTTTCAGAATGAAATTATTGGGAGAAAATTAAAACCCATCCACATACACAAACTAAGCTACTTATCACACCCCTAAATGTTCAAGCCATGTTCTTTGCCATTTTGTGATGTGTGTGTTCATGTAACATAAGCTGTTTCCTCTAAAATAAAAAAATCAATTTTTGCTAGTGAAATATACTGTGAAGTTATAGTACGTATAGCCCTGCAGTGTAAGGATAAGGCATTGATTTTAACTTAAATTCTTCGAAGCTTAATGCATCGTCCTTCATTAAGTAAAATTTATTTTTTTCTCTCTCTCTTTCAGACTTAACCAACATAATGACTGCTGAACATTAAGGGAAAACACAAGAAGGTTACATGTTTGGTTGTCTAATATTCTTGGATTTGATATGAGTCACCACATCTATTCATTAGTATCATCAACAACATCCCAGTTTGTATGCACATTATTCACATTCCTATCTGTTGTGTTTGCAGAAATGACATTTTACCCTTTTTCTAAGGGTTACCTTTTGATTTTCATATTTGGTTGCATGAAGTTGCCCTTTTCCAGTGGCTGAGGTTTATGAAGATATTGCAGACTTGTACACATTTTAGATGCCTTTTCTAAAGAGAAAAGGTGAAACTCCAAATTAAATCATTTTAAGTCAGCATTTTTTTAAAACAAGTAAACCTTAAAAATTAGTTTTCTACATGCAAAACCACAAGAATCTATTCCACCTACAAACATAACTTTTAATTACTCTATAACCATCCTTTCTTGTTTTTTAATTAGTTACAACATGAAAGAAAAATTCTCCTTCAGTTAAGATCATTGCAAAGGTCAATAATGTAATAAAATACCTTTCCTTATTAGAAGTACCTAGCTAGTTATACTCTTACTACTTCTCAAAATCATGATGTAATGTACACTATCTGACTTAGTTCCTATATGTGGAGTTAGTGAAAGTCTTTTTGTGTTTCTTAGATTAATACAAGGATTTTTTCCAATGCCAACACAATTTGAGCTCATTCATTTGGATGCTTTACATTTTTAAGCTTATTGTGATACAGAACCCTATGGGAAACCAAAACAAAACATCAAATTTTGAATACTGAAAGGCTTAAAAAAAGGATCCTGTCATTCTTCTGATTTTTTTTTTTTCTTTTGGAAATAGAACTAGACTAGTAAGTAAGCATTCCAAAACCATTATTCTGTGTACATTATTGTTGCTATTGTGATAATAGAGAATTTTATTTATTTTTATGCCAGCTTTTATTGTGAAAACATATTTAGTCTGGTTTTATCAATCCTTGTTATGCTTGTCCTTGGAACATCTTTTGCGTATTCAAGGTTTGTAGTTGACGAGTTTACTGTAAAAAAAACAAAAACAAAACAAAAAAATGTATTGTTTTTACAGAATAAATTTATTGGAATGTGTATTGGGAGTAAGGTTTGAGGTTGTAAGCAACTAAGTTAGCGTCATATTTGGCTTCATACGTGTAATAATGTGAGGTATTAATGTAACTCAAGTATTAAAGCAAAACATTCTGTTAACACTGAGTTGAAAATAGATACAAGTGCAGGTGAGATCTTTATTTTTTTCTGTACATTGCCTTTTTTTGGATAACAGGAGGTTATTAAATTCACCTTGACTGTATTCCAAGTTTCTTTGAGAGCATTAGAGCTAATGCTGAGGGCATGATACCTACTTGTAAGACAGCATGTGCTACCATAGATCCTTGGGGAGGACATAGTGGGGTGGAGCTGACCTGAATTGTAATATAGATGGGAGGATTCCACACCCAAAAAACCTGGGATCTGGAGGAGATCATTTTATAAGCTCCTTTTTGCCAAAAAGTATTGACTGATATGTGCTGTCCCTTGCCATTTTGGCTGGAGGGGGACAGCATACATTCTTTCTTCTGAGCACTGCTGTGAACAACCCTGCGGGGTTTAACTGGCGAATGTTGAAGGTATGAATTTTTCCCTGTTTTGAAAGTTCCCGTGCATAGTGTGAAACACGCATGTGCATGAGCCGATGCTTTTTTTTTTTCATTAATGCTCAGACTGGAAAGAAATGAAAATGCTGTAAATCAAACCTTCCAGCAATTCAGCACCCAAGACTAAAATGTTCCCAGTTAAATTTATCAATTATTTTTATCCACAGAAGAGGCACAAAAATGTACTATTTTTAGCATAAACTCGTGAAATGTAATAGCTATAGTTCTGATTGCAGTGAAAATGTAAAGCCCCCAAACCTCTCACTAAGGTCTATATTAGCTGCGGCTTGTTTATGGCAAAACCTCACTAGCAAAGTGGCTGCAAAGAGAAGCGCAACAGAAAGCCTCCTCTGAAAATGCTTGGTTGTATTTAAAAGCCCAATTCCTCATTGTTCTGAGCACTGGCCCCAACTGAGCAACACGTGTACGCACATGCCCAGCTTCAAGCATCTGAGAAGTCCTCGCAGAATAGAGCCCTTAGACAGCACTGATTGAACTGATTTGATTTGCTTCTTTCATGTAGAGAGTTGTATATTAAAAGTCAATAGCGTCTTAAAAGATTTCTTGAGATTTTTAACATGGCTGACCCACAAGAAATTCCTTTTGACTAATAAAACATGTGCATGTGACAGAGTTCTGTATGTTAATTGTTGGCACGTCCATATATTAACCCCAAAAACGTTTCCGATCACTTTGTACAAGATGTTAACACTGAAGTGATTCAGTCTGTGTGGAACACTGAGGTAATTCTTTAACTCCACGCAGCATCAATAAAATTGCCAAAGCACCTCTCTCAAGAATAGCTTTAGAAACCATTAACTCAGCTGCAGTGAAAAATCAAAAGGTTGAGAAGTGTTATTGAAGGCAGTTGTCTTTATTGCCCTTTTTTTCTTTAAGGATAAACAAAGCAGACTATGCAGTTGCATACATTTCTTGACAAACTACATTTAATTTGGCTGCCATAGGAGTAGTCCAGTTGCATCCAAAACTAAATATGTACAGAGCCAAAAAGGAAAATTGGAAGCAGTTTTTCTATTCAGTTTTTTCTTCTCGTTTTGTTTTCATGAAAAACTCTGGCTTGTTGACACACCTGTAAGCCAACAGTTGGGGAAGAATTCCATACATTATGTTCAGTGCTAGAAAAAACAGTTTTGCTTCTTCGGGGACTCGGTAGACGTAAGGAGTTCGAGCATGAAGAGAAGCACCAATATGGGAAAATTGAGCCTGTGATGTGTATATATACACATAAGAATGGGTAAGATTGAATGACAGCATAACCTGCATTACTATTTTTACATGCACGCATCACCAAACAACATTTTTTTTCAACACACACACTTAGTCCTGATCTGAGGTCATTTGTACTTCCACATGCATGGGAGTGCTGCTACTGATGCTAACCTGAGCAGGCAGGGCCTAACCTTTAATTTGTATCAAAGTGTTAGAAAAGACAAGAAGTGGGGAGCTAAACAAATTTCTTTTGATGATGCTCTGCAGATTTTACTCTGCTGTCTTCAGTAGCAGTTTGCCAGATCAAGCTTGTGCGAAGCACTGAGCTAAGAGTTTTCTGCAGCATAGGTTAAATTTACAGTGATGGTTATGTGCAGAGGGAAGCACACTGAGCTGCAGCATATTTTTAGCATAAACAAACATTTAAAGATAGAAGCACTTGGGATAGTTGCTGTCTTTTGTCTCCATCTGTTATCAGCTATTTCAAGCAACAGCTCATTTACATTAACTATCATATGTCCAATTCTATGATTTTTTTTTCCAGTAAGAGGAACCTGAGAAAATAATTGCTAGCTTGACTTTGAGGAGATTAAGAGAAAGGTTCAGAAGGAATTTAGCAATGGAGTAAAGTAGACTATAAGCCAAATCCTGCTCTCTGTAGGCTTTGATAGGGGTTATCTAGGGATCACAACAAGCAGAATGTTGTCCATGGCTAGCGAAGTAGAAAGAAGAGAGACAAATGCAGCATGTGCATTGTTGTGATATACCCCCAAAAGGGGATTTCTCAGTAATCCCTGCCACCCCAGTGCCCAGAGGACAGCTGCTCTAGCAAGCCTCTCTCAGGAAGCAGAGCAGTCAAAAGAATCAAATGCAAACACACTTGAGCAGAGTGGCTGTTCAGGTGTTCCTGTGAATATCTGTAATACACCAAGCAGAAGCTCAGTAGCACACTGTAAACCATGTTGTAAGAGCCTAGCAGTTCAGTCTGTTTCCTGCAGACTGCTAGTACCACCCCGAGTCCCAGAGGAGAGCCCTTCCCCTATCTGGCAGCTTCACCCAATTGCCCATTGCTGCAGGGACCCACCCTTTTCCTCCAATGGAACTACCCGCAGCGGGCAGCTCAGAGAAGGAGCAGTGGCCAGGGGCAAGGACCTCCTGGCACAGAACCTGAAACACAGCCAGCAGCAGGGAGAGGAAGGAGTAAGAGTTTGGCTTCTAATGATGCCCTGTCTGTCTTGGCACTTCTGGCCTGACTCTAGTATCCAGAGGTCCGGGTAAGCACTCTGGTGGTGGGGTTGGGGTATCATGTGGAAGAACAGCGAAATTGCCACACAAAGTTAGACCAATTGTCCCACTGATCCTGTGTTTTGTCTCTGATGGTGATTAGTACCCTTTGCTGCACAGACAACATACAGTCCTTGTAAGAAGGAGCTCTGGGAGAATTTCTTTCCTGAGACACAGGCCCAAATTTTCATGGTTATTCAGAGAGCAAGGCACATACATCCCTTTCAGGGCCTGGGCTTTAGTGCTTGGCAGCTTCTCCCTTGAATCAAAACGGACTATAAATTTCATCTAGTTTTTATTATGCAACTTCAGCTACTGTATTTTTATTATTCACAAAAATGTATTTCCATCCTATCTGTCTTCTCATAACCTGTAAAGAGCATTTCTGGCAGCGGGCAGCTCAGAGAAGGAGCAGTGGCCAGGGGCAAGGACCTCCAAAGGAATTCTGTCATTTCAGACTGCCATTGCAGAAACTCAATTCACAGGAGAGGATTTTTTCCTTCCTTTGTGTCAAGATTTCACTCTAGACTCTGGAAGCAAAGTACATTATTAACCACATCAGCATCAAGAGGACAAGAAAACCTATAGTGGAATAGCCCTAGTTTCTCTTTTTAAGTCAAGGTTTGTTATCTAGTGCTTGGCAGTCTGTGATCCTCAATGTGAAAAAAGTTCTGTAAGCAACAATGGAGAAAGGAACAGCAAGTGAGTAGATGGGGAAGGGGCTTGGGTAACCCAGTAGGAGCTAAAAGGAGGGAGAGAGTAAGGAAAAAAAGGGAGCAACTGTGTAAAATTCAGACTGCATGTTTGTCCCAGCAGGAGTTTTAGAAGTGTACAGGTAGAGCACAATGTTGAGAACGGCCAGTGGTGCAGCATCTGTGTGGGAGTATAGGTGCTAATTCTAGTAATGACAAAAACTGTAAACTGCTCTGTGTTGCATGGTCTGTCATGATAGGATCAGCCAGGAGCTGTTCCAATCCTGCTGATGGGCTGCCATGCTTGTAACCAAAAGCAGGTTCATGCCACTTACTGTAGTTAGATCCCACCAGTGAACAAGCTATTCCTTGATTCTTCCTGTTATAGAAACCTCAGCATGGAAAATTTACGGAGGGATGATGGAAGAATGCTTTAGCTGTTCCCCTTGATGAAATCAGGCAGTAAATTGCCAACAGCTTCGTATCTGTGAAATGCTCAGCCTTGATTAATCTGCTGGTCATCACACTCCACAGTAAACTCTGGATGCTTAGTTCCAGGGGTGGTGCTGTCAACAACTCACTAGCAATGTGAATCAACCAACTAAGCTACTCACCTGCAGGAAATCTTTTTGCTCAAATTCTGGCTGCAACCCAATTACAAACATTGCCCAGAGAATTTGTGTTGCTCTATAACCCAGAAGGCACTCAGAGGGAGAAGGCCCTGCTTGTCTATGCAAGAAGGTAGATCTGCTTCTCTGGGCCTTATTCAAAGCCTACAGTTATCAAAGAACAGCTCCAGTTGCTTTCAAAGGGGGTTGAATTGTCAATCTAGGGAGATCTCCTGCATTCTCATTTATATCAATGACTATAGAAAGTATGCACTGGGAGCTCTGATTGGGTGGGGGTATGGCAGTGACTTCCTGCAGCCTAGCAGAGTTTTGGAGGAGTGTGGGGTTATGTTTTTACAGGAGCTGTATAAGTGTGGAGGGTGTTTTTCTGCAGCACAAACATTGAACTTTTCATCGCTTCACATGTAAGTCCTGTGTACACTTTCTCATATAGGTTAACAGAGAAATTTTTAAGATCTCGGAGGCTATCCAGTGTCTCCATACAATCAAGGTTGTGGAAGTTCTGATCTTGTGGAAGACTAAGGAGCTTTGCTGATTGGTGTTGTAGGAATTACAAGCCAGAGGGGCCTAACTTTTGGAGTCAAAGGGTGTGTCTACACGAG